ATAGTTTCATCAGGTTAATGATGTTGTAATAAAGATAAGATATAAGGTTTAAGAGTATTAAATCGTTAGGTAAGGTCCATTTTAGTTGGTTTTTTTTTTAGTGAAGATAAAAATATGTAGACATTAAATGAATTTTTATGGGTTTTATAATAAAATCAGTGGTTCCCAGTTTGGTAATTCTTTGTATGGTTTTAATAAATCCTCATTTACTATTTTTGCAAATACTTTACTATTTATAGTTCGTAACTGATATGTATTATTATTAAATTTATTGTGTATATAAAATAGTCTTGTGAATTATTCCTCTAATTTCTTTCATAGAATTCTTTTGATATACAATCTTGCATTGAATAATAAAACTTTATCATTGATTTGGTAATCATAGGGTTTAATATGTTGATTGTAATACTTCTTTTATTTATCTTGTGCTTTAATTATATTAGTTTGTGCTTCAATTCTTTGTTGAGGTAGACGTTCAATTAACTTGTATATGTGATGTAATAATTTTCATGGGACGTTATTCTACAAACATTGCCCATATCAGTTATAAATTGAAATTCTACAGATAGTACTGCATCTCAGCCATACAGTAAATTAAATGGTTTAAATTTGGTAGTTGTTTGTTGATGTGTATGATATACAAATAGAACAGAAGGTATATAAACATCCCAATCTGTAGAAAATGTAGCAACATATTTTGCTAAAGTTTCATATAAAGTTCTGTTAAATTATTCAACAAGTCTATTTGTTTTGGAGTAATAACTAGAGAATAGTTTATGTTTAGTTTCTAAATATTCACAGAGAGAGTCTATTATTTCATTTACAAAATGTATTCCTTGGTCTGTTAATAGTGTTTTTGGACAACTATATCAACAGATTATATCTTTATAGAAAAATTTTGCTATAGTGAGGGCTAGAGTATCTGGTATAGGTCTTGCTTCTGGCCATTTTGTTAGGTATTCTGTTGCAACAATGATATATTTATTTCCTTGTTTAGTTTCTGATAAGGGTCCTACAATATCTATTCTAATCATATCTAAGAGCTGATTTACTACTATTAGGTGTAAAGGATTGGTTTTTAGAGGCTTTTCTCTTTTTTGACAAGCATTACATGCTTGTATATATTCTCTGATATGTTTTTGCATTCCTGGCCAAAAGTATTTCTTTGCAATTGCTGTATATGTTTTGTCAAAAGAAAAATGTTCTGCACTAGGATCATAGTGCATTTGGTAAAGAACTGCTTCTATTTCATTAATTTTTAGTATACGAAAAGGTATGAAATTATTAAGAGAAGACTTTTTAAATAATAAATTGTTTGGATAAAATAAGAAATAGCTTTTCATTTAATACTAGATTTTTGTGGAGGAGGTAAATTAGATGAAAAATTAAGAGTTTGGAGATAATTATAAATAAGATTATAGATAGGGATATCTATAATGAAATATAAATATAATAAATAGTAATATATAATAATAATGTAAATAAATAAAAATATTGCTTTGATTTAGAGTTTAGATTTGTTGGGGAGTCTAGATAGACTATCAGTGTTTTTATATATTTTTCCTGCTCTATGTTGTACAAAAAAATTGTAACCTTGGAGTTTCATAATCCAATGTGCAAGTTTTTCTGTTGGATTAGCAATTTTGAATAGAGAGCACAATGCAAAATGATCAGTAATAATTGTAAATTGTTGTCTATGTATATAAGAGTAAAAGTGTTTAATTGACTATACAACAGCTAGACATTCTAGTTCTGTTGCAGAATAATTTTGTTCAGATTTGTTTAGAGTTCTGGAGGCATATGCTATAGCATGTTCTTTGTTATCATCTCCTATTTGTAATAATATTGTACCAAGAGCTATAGTCAATGCATCTGTATAGAGTAAGAATTCTTTGTCAAAATTTGGGAATATAAGAATAGAGGCTGTAATAAGTTTTTCTTTTAAAGTTTCAAATACTTTTTGTTAATATTTTCTTAAGTAGTTGGTTCATTAGGGCTGCTATTTTTGAAAAATTAGCAATAAATCTTTTATAATAGGAAGCAAGTTCAAGAAAAGCTTGTATTTAGATAATAGTTTTAGTGACAGGATAATTTTTGACCTTTTTTATTTTTACTAAATCAGGTAAGACTCCATTTTTACTAATTATATGTTCTAAAAATGCTAGTTCTTGTTTGATAAAAAAGCATTTTTCAGGTTGAAGTTTAAGGTTTGCTTTTTTAATATATTCAAATACAAGACGAAGATGTTGAATATGTTCATCAAAAGTTTTCGAGAAGATATTGATATCATCAAGATATACTACAACAAACTTTCAAAGATATTCTTGCAATATATTATTCATTAAACGTTGAAATGTAGCTAGAGCATTGGTTAATCCGAAGGGCATTACTTTAAATTTGTATAGTCCATATCAAATAGTAAATGCAGTTTTGGGTACATCTTGGAGAGCCATGGCTACTTGCCAGTAATCACTTGCTAGATCTAGAGAAGTGAACCATCCAGATCCTTGTAATATATCTAAGAGTTCATCAATTCTTGGTAAAGGATAACTATCCTTTTTAGTTATTATATTTAATTTTCTATAATTTATGCAAAAACGTAGTTTTCCATTTTTTTTTTTAATGATAACAACTGGAGAGGCCCAAGAACTTTTAGAAGCCTGAACAAGATCTAGTTTTAACATTTTTGAATTTCTTCCTTAATAAAACCTGATTCTTTAGAGAAGTTTGATAAAATTGTTGTTTTATAGGTTTATTATTTTCAATTTCAATTTCATATTAGATTTTATTAGTTCTTCCTAGATCTAAATCATTTTGAGCAAAGATATCAATATATTCATTAACAAGATTATAAAATTCTTCTTGTTGTTTTTCATCCAATTCTCCAACATTAAGTTTAGGAGGAGAGTCAAAAGAATCTTCTATTTTATTTTCATAGAATATTAATAAGTTTCTTGGATTTCATTCTATTCTTCATTAGTTTTTGTATGACAGTATGGGCACATTTGCTTTAAGTTTTCTTTTTCTATTTCTTGCCAAAGATTAAGAGTATAGATTCTTTCTTCAAGTTATTCATCTTTATACTCAGTGGATTCATCAGATTCACTTAAAGATTCATATTCACTTTTACTTTCATTAGAGCTTTCTTTTTTGTTTTTCCTTTAGATATAGCTTTAAGTCTTGGAATTCCAGTAACATGTTTAAATTCAATAGAAACTTGAATTTTTACATTTTTATTTTTAATCTTCATTACTGATTTTTTCCAGTTAATTTTTGCTTTGGCTTTGGATAGCTAGTCATTACCAACAATTACAGAATATATATTAGTATCTGCAACTACTACATCAATTAGTAAAGAGTATTTACCAATTTTAATAGGTAAGTTTTCTACTTCTCCAAGAGATCTTCTCTTTTCATTATTTACATTTAACATTAAAGTTGTTGATGGTTTTGTAATTTTTAGACCAGTATATTTAAGAAAATGATTAAAGATAATACTTTCAGCAGAACTACTATCAAGGATAATATTGGTAGTGACTCCATTAATATTGGCTTGACAATATAATGCTATAGTTCTAAATTTTCTATTATCTGTATATTAAGCAATAATTATAGGTTTAGGAGCAGATTTAATCTTTTTCTTTCGAAGGCTTCTACTTAGTTCTCTTAGGTATTTGGGATTTTCAGCAGCAAGTTGAGCAATAGAAATATTTGTCTTGATTTGTTGTAAGTCTTCAACAATCGAATATTTTAATACATCTTTACCAATCATTGGTTTATGAAATCTTGGACCTTGTAGAGGATTTCTTTTTTTTTAGCTTTAGGAGTTTTAGAACTTTCTGCTTGAGGATCATTTACTACAATATTTTGAACTTTTGAAGTTTCATTTTCTTCTACTACTTTTCTTCTTTTTCCTATATAATCTTTATTAATATTATTTTTATTATCTTCTTTTAAATAGATCATAGAAGGGTTTGTATTGTCTTGGGAAGCAACAGGACCTTCTGTATTCACTGACACTGATTTAAGTTTAAATATTATAAGAGAGTAGCTAATTGTTGTGTAAGTTAATTAGGATTATTATTATTATTATTATTTTGTGGTTGATTGTTATTATTTTGAACAGGGTTTGGATGATTATTGTTTCTGGGTTGATTATTTCTAGATTGATTATTATTTGTTAGAGGTTATTTTGTTGATTATTATTATTTCTTGAGTTAGGACAATCCTAGGCAATATATTCAGGTTGGAAACAATTAAAGCAAACAGGTCCTCTTTGATTGTTATTGTTGTTGTTATTATTATTATTATTGTTTTGGTTGTTTCTTTTAGGATGGTTGTTGTTTTCTAATTTCTTTTCAATTTTCTTTTCAAGGTTTTCTATACATTTAGTGAGAGCTTCCATTATAATTTCAACAGAATTAGAGGATATAGGAGTTGGAGTAACAATATTGTTGTTAAGATTAGGAGTAATATACATTGCAGCACTATAACGAGTAAGTTCACAAGTTTTTGCTTTGTTAACTACTCTGTCACAAGTATTTTCACCAAATAGATGTACTGCCATTTGTAATTCTGTTCTTAAACCAGTAGTAAATTTACGAACTTTTTCTATTTCTGGATAAACATTGGTATTTGTTTTTAATCAATGATATAATTCATATAAACGTATAGCATATTGGTCTACTATTTTAGTTGATTCTTGTATGCAGTGAGTTAATTCAGTAGCCTAAATGTTAATAAGAACAGGAGTTTGAAATTAGATAAGGAATCGAGGTTTAAAACTATCAGCTTGATTTTGTATATTCTAGTGGCCAAAAGCTTGTTGTTGGTTAGCATTACTATACCAAATTGCTGCTTTATTTTTAAGATAGGCAGTAATAATTTATAGTCTTCTTGCATCAGTAAAGTTGTTAGCTATAGCCATACATTCAAATTCTTCAATCCAAGTAACTAGATCTTGGTTATCACCAGCAAAAGGTATAATTTTAATAAGTTTAGTTTCTCTTTATCCAAGATAATTAGTATTATTAGCAACAGCATTTGTTTGATTTTGAATCCAGTTATCTAGTGCTTAAATAGCATTAATTAAATTATTAATATCTTGTGCTTGTAATGCCATATTATTATTATTTGGAGGTAATAAAGGTGGAGTAATAGGCGAAGAAAGTACAAAAGTTTGATATAATTGTTCTAAATCAAATTCAGATAAATCAGAAGTTTCAGAAATTTCAGATTCTACTTCACTATAATTATAAAGGATCTAAAGTAAATCAATTTGTCTGAAGATAAGCAGTATAGATTTGAATAAATAAAAAATCAAATACTAAAGAAGTTAAACTTTGTTAATATCAAATAGCAAAAATAAGGTTTTCAAAATGTTTTAATAGTAAATTATCAATATTATATATGTTAATATCTTGAAAAACTAAGATAGTGTAGTCAGAATATCGAACAACAGGAAATTCTGCAGAAAACCAAGACCAAAAATTGATAAAAGAATAATCTCTTTCTGTATTTACAGGATAACAAATAGTACAAGAAAAGTTAGGAAGATGTTGATTTAAATATTCAAAAGTGTCAGAATTTAATATATATTTATTGTGAAAGCTATCATATAAATTGTTTCTTTGTCTAAATAAATCAAAGTTATCAGTCATTCAATACTTTAATCTAAATAAACATTAAAACCTTTTTGTTGTTGAAATTTTACTAATTCTTTTATTCCGTCAAAAGAGATAATATTGTTGTTAAATTCTTGCTCATAGAGATTTAAATTATTTAGTTAATAATTTGTATATACAATATTAACAACTTGTAATTCAGTAGGATGAGGGAGATTATAACAGATTCCAGTAGAGTTGCTTGAATTTGGAAATTCAAGATAATAGGTTTGTTGATAAGTATTTTTTTCAGAAAACTCTTGTTCAATTATACCTTAATTCCAAAGTTGAGGTGATTGTATTTAGATTTGTCATTAGCCCAAAAGAAACCACAATGTTGAGTATATAGATAAAGTTTAGTTTTTTCAGAAGTAAGAATAGAACCTTGTTGGAAAAAAGTAATAATTTGTTTTATTTGGTCAATTAGAGTTTGATGTTATTTGTCAGTTGGGATATATCCAAAATATTCACAAGAGAAGTTAAAATGTTGTTGGTTAAATATAAAATAAAGAAGAATAAAAGTGTTTAGAGAAGATAATAAAGTAAGATATATTTATAGATAAGAATATAAATAAATAAGAAAGATAATAAGAAATAAAGATAAAGAATAGATAATAAGATGTTAAAAGATAAAATAATAGAGAATAAGAGAGATAGAAACTAAGAAAAAAAATTTAAAAAAGAAACTACAAGAGACAATATTTGTAAATAGAGAGATATCCTTTACAAAAATTATTTTTTCTTTTAAATATTGTTTTCTGTCAGGAGGCACCAAATGTTATTGCTCTATTTTTGTATAACTAGGCTCAAGATGGAGTCTAGCAGAAGAGAGCAATAACTAGCAGTTCGATTTAAAGAACTAAAGCAGAAAGTAATATTTAAAAGGTAAAGTCATAATAGAATAATACAAAACAGATAAAGTAGAGTATATCCCTATTAGATTCAAAGGAGTCCAAACTTAGTTCAAGCAATATAGTGAACACTATTAGACTCTGGGAATCCAAACCTTATATACTCTAAAAATATCAAGAAATAATAAAAAAGATAACAAGAAAGAAAACAAAAACTCAAGAAAAATGCCAATTTTCAAGAAGACAATAGTATTTTATTATTAGCAATCAAATTATAAGAACTTATACAAAGTTAAATTGAGGAAGGGGAAAAAGAGAGGCTATTTATAATGTTTTGGGACTATGTGGATATTAATTTAACATTTATTTATCATGTGACACATATAAGGTTACATGGTACATCACATGTTACATTTAATTTAATTTTCATTACACTAATTAGTAAGTTCTAGAATGTTTATCAAAAATTGCTAATTACTAAAAATTGTACTATGATAATCGATCTAACTTAGTAAAACAAAAATGTTTTATGACCCAAAATAGGGGATTTGCTAATATACAATAACAAGTTTTTGTATTAGTTTTCGAGATATTAGTTTCTGAATATGAACGTTCTCTATACTCACTCATTAATTACTAATATATATAATATAAATGATAATAAATAGTAATATTAATGATAATAATATATAATAATAATATGATAAAATATTGATAAGAATATAATAATAATATGATAAAATATAAGAAAAAGAAAAGAAAAAAGAAAAATATTAAAATTCGATGAAATTTTGGAATATTACAATATATATCAAATAAGATAATTCTTTTAAAAGTTGATCAATACTCATTTTTTCTTCATTATCAACAGGTAATGTTCTATAAATTTTCTTTTAGCTAAGCTTTTACTGATTGGTGTCTGTTCATCAAAATCATCTTCTAAAAATAAATCTATAGTATCTATATTTAATTCTGTATTATCTTTATTCTTATCACTGGTTGTATTATCTTCACTTTCTGAATTATTGTTTTCAGAATCACTATTTTCAGAACCATTGTTATTTGAATATTCTATTACTGAATTGTTATTTTCTGAACTATCACATTTTAGAAATTTTGGAAGTGGTTCTTCTCTATATTTATGCTATGAAGATGATTCTCTAATGCTTATACTAGATATACCAATATCAGTTAGGGCTATATAATCTTGTTTAGTTTTTAGATCAATATATTTTCTTTTACATTTTGGGTAATTATATAAAACTTTTTTACTTTGCATATAGATTGTTCTTTGGATAATAACATTATTAATTAATATATTATACTTTATATTGGTTTAAGATTGATTGAATTTTTTTAATGAAAATGTATAGTATATACACTATCTTAAATGCTTTTTATTACAATAAATATATATAAATATAAAAAAATAAAATTAAAGTTATACTGTAGATTTCATCAATAATTAGAACTTAAATTAAGATTATATTGTATATTCAAACAATAATTGGAATTTAAATTAAGATTATATGTATTAATGATCAGAATTAATTTTCTTAGTAATATAAATATATATATCTTTTTAGAACACATTAATTTTCTTCTTTTTTGAACATGTTAATTTCTTCTTTTTTTTAAACAAAAATACATAAAACATAAAAAACACACAAATATTATAAAAACATTATACTAAATACCAAATATATTAATATTATAAGCACAGAAGGACTATTGAACATATATACAGAATTTTTTACTATATCATTCATCAAAAAATATTCTCAAGAGAAAATTTGAAGATAAACATACAAAATTCAACAAAGTAATACATCTAATAATTTATAAACTAAATATGCTATTATAGATAATATATTAGAAACATAATAAGTTTTATTAATTATAAAGCCAATATTCTATAAAACAGATATGTCAAATTTTCTATTTATTATTGCATTAAAGAATATATCTTCTCATACAAAAGGAGAATTTTTAAGAGTAATGTAACATACTGCAGAAGAATTAAAAGCACTATCCTCAATTTCGTATAAACAAATAATTTTTTTGTATATCTTCCTAATATTAAATAATTTCTCAATCATTCAAAAATATTAATATTAATTATATTAGATACCATATTATTAGATGATATTGTAGAAATGATATACTAAAACAATTGCCTGTATACTGAGAAATGAGTAGATATTATTGAGGAGTTGGTATTGTTCCTTGATCTTATATAAAATAAAGAAATAATACTAAATCTTGATAATCATGTGACATATATTTTGATTGCATATCTTCTAAGTGAAAAATTAATTATTTTAATGTAATTAATGATACTATAGGAAATTAATATTTTTATAATATCCAAATTTGTTCAAATACTTTTGTTCGATTATATCTTCTAAGCGAAAGGTAATAATTTTAATATAATATTTATTTAAATAAAGATATTATAATAATATTATTATAATTTTTATACTGTTTAATTTTATTTAAATACATTGTTCGAATATATATCTTCTAAAAGAAAGGTAAATTATTTTAATGTAATTAATAATTTAATTAATGATATTATAGTGATATTAATATAATTGGTTTGAATATTCAATTTTTATTTGAGTATAAAAATATATAAGTTTAGACTCTAATCTGATAATTAATAAGTTTGATATCGTATCTTCTTATTAAAGTAATTTTTTTAAGTAATATTAATATATGGGGGTGAGTCAATAGAAATAGGACAAATTTATTAGATAAATTTGTCTCATTTTTACTGATTCACCCTCATATACTGTTTAATTTTCTTTGAGTCATTGTTTGAATATATATCTTCTAAAAGAAAGGTAAATTATTTCAATATAATTAATAATTTAATTAATGATATTATAGTGATATTAATATAATTGTTTTGAATGTTCAATTTTTATTTAAGCATAAAAACATATAAGTTTAGACTCTAATCTGGTAATTAATAAGTTTGATATTATATCTTCTTATTAAAGTAATTTTTTAAGCAATATTAATATATACTGTTTAATTTTATTTGAGTA